CTTTAGGGATGTCATTCTTATCCTCGTAAGCCAAGAAGTAGAGGGAAAATTTCATTGTAGGAAAATCAAACTTTTGGAGTAACGTCCCTAGTATAAAAAAAATCCAGGGACTTCTCAGGATCCTTAATTCTCAGCATCGTCTGCTGCAATAGGAAGTCCTTGGTGCTGGGGTCCTGGCCGGAGCAGCAGCTGAGGGTGACCTCATCCGTGAGGCCGCTGGGCACGGGCCTCCCTGGAGGATCGCTGACCAGTTCAGCCAACAAACCAGCGGACCACCGGTGGTGCACGCCTTTAATCCCAGCATTGGGAGGCAGAGGTAGACAGATCTCTGTGAGTTTGAGGCCAGTCTGGTCAACCAAGTGAGTTCCAGGAAAGGAGCAAAGCTACACAGAGAAATCCTGTCTCAAAACAAACAAACAAACAAACAAAAAAGATAGTAAAAAGAAGGCAAACTGGTACAATTTCTTTGGAAACCTAGTTTGGCACAAATTATTTAAGTTAAAATCACATCTAACCTATGGCCCTAAAATTGTATCTTTAATTATATAGATGACAGAAATACACATGCACATGCAAGCAGCATTTGCAAGAATGCTCAACAGAGTACAATGGCCCAAAGACCCAAACTAGAAAAATATCAAAAACAGAATAAATATGTAACTTGAGGGAAAGGCATAAAATGGATAATTCTGCAGTTATAAGCAACAACATGGATGCTTTTTTTTTAAAGTTAAGGTTGATTTATTTTATTTATTTTTATTTTATGCAGATGAAGGCTTGCCTGCCTGTATGTATGTGCACCACATGTGTGCCTGGTACCTGTGTTGGCCAGAAGAGGGTGCCAGATCCCTTAGAACTGGAGATATAGACAGCTGTGAGCTGCCATGATGGTGCTGGGAACTAAACCTGGATCCTCTGAAAGAGCAGCAAGTGCTCTTGACCAGTGAGCATCTCTCCAGCTCCAACATGGATAATATTTGTAAGGGTCGTGTTAAGTGACAGGATCCAGATGTGAGAGAACACAGGGAATTATTCTAACATGAAAGCTCTTAACTGGGCATCTGGTGTCAGAACATTATTCTGCTTGCTCCTGGGCCTTGCATGATGCTTACCAGCACATTCCCTTGGTGATGGTTTAGAGAGCTGCAACATCTACTCATTTCATTTTTCTCCTTGAATATGATGCTTCAAGTTACAACTGTTTTTCAGGGCTGGGAGTTGAACAGAAGGACTTCTAAAAGCTAGTCAAGTGTTCTGCTGCTGAGCATATCCAAGAATGACTTTTTTTTTTAAAAAAAAAAGCATAATCTATTTCTTTAGAAGATGATTAAATAAAATGGTTTTGTGGAAGAGTTGGTGGGATGGAATTCCATGGGATTTTAGATATTATATAAAAGTAGTATTTAAGCTGATGGCATGATGTGAAAAGTTGCTAAGACTCTCTAAACACCCACACAGGAAGATAGGATAACTGAAACACCTTAGGAACCACATAAGCCCCAGATGTTTATTGCACCTCCTTCCCTGGACTCTGTTTTCTGCATTTGCATCCCACCCTCAACCTATTACAAAGAACCTTATCTCACCGAGTTCTCCTGTAACCACCACCAACTCGATGACTTTAAAAGTAGTCATATTTATACGGACCTGCCTCTGACTATACTTGGCTTTCAGGAATGAACATTTTTCTCCCATTCACAAGGTAGTTTACATCTAGAAACCATAAATGAACAAGTATACATTTCAATTGGCTTTTTAATATATCGTTCACACCTCATTTCTTAATGCAAGAGGCATAGAGAAAATATTAAAGGCACAGACTTAGAAATGAGAGCAACCAGAACTCCGGTTCCACTTCTGTGGCTCTTAAAGAACAACCTGTTCTAGCCTGTCTCCTTCCTCTACTACTCAGGTAATATGACTAATTCACAGGATTGTTGGCATTAAAGGAGTCATCACATGTCGAAATCTTAGTGTCGTATCCGGCTCAAATGAAGGATTCACTAACTTCATAGTACCAACGTGATGAAGCATACTTGGTGTTCTAGTTTCGTTTCAGTTGTTATGATAAAAAGACCCTGGCAAAAAGCAGCTGTGGGGGGTATTATTTGAGCTTACAGTTCAAGGCTAAGGTTCATCACTGTGGGGGAAGTCAAGGCAGAAACTTCCATTGGCTAGTTACACCACACCCACAATCAAGAGATGACAGAAATGAATGTGTATATGTTCACTTGCTGGCTTGTATCAGCTCAGCTTCTACACTCTTGCATGGGGCAGGACCTCCTAGCTAGGGAATAGTGTTGCCTGTAATGGGTTCGATCTTCCACACCAATTAAAGTAAGGCAATCCCACACAGATATGCCCACAGGTCAACCCAATGTAGACAATTCCTGGTTGAGACTCTCTTTCCAGTTTGTGTGATACTAGCTTGTGTCAAGTTGACAAAGCAAAGCATCATGCCTGGAAACTATTTAGGACTTAAAGTGGACTAGAAAAAAAAAAGTGTGATGTGATGTGTGTGTGTGTGTGTGTGTGTGTGTGTGTGTATGTGTGTGTGTGTGTGGTGTTAGTGCTTGGTGGTGAGAGTAGTGAGGTGATACTAGTGTATGTTTTTGGGTTTTTTTTTTTTAACTACAAAACCCAGAAACTCCTAGTCCACCCAGCTAAGATTTCAACACAATTAACGGTGACTGTAATGTAGATAAGTAAGAAAATACCTATGTGATTAGTTATTTCACAGATCCTTGGAGGATACACTGGAGTTTATTTAGCCTAGGAAGGACAAGGACTGCACTCCCTGGACTTAACAAATATGGTGGAAGCTTAGAATGCAAAGCTACTAAGGTCCAGTACCACAAAAATACATAAAGATGCTAAGAAAATGTCTTAAGGTGTGTAGCCCGGAAGGTTTATCCATTCCTGCTTGGCTCCATGGTCCTGTAGCTGATTATAAAATAATCACTCAGAGGCTTATAATAATTACAAACTGTAAGGCCTATGGGTCAAGCTTCTTGTTAGCTAGCTCTTATAACTTAACTCAACCTATTTCTATTAATCTATATGTTGCCACGTGGCCATGTTGTTACCAGTCTGCTGGCATCTTGCTGCTCCTTGGGCAGCGACTAGCATCTCCCCTTATTATCTCCCTTGGATTTTCCCACCTGGCTCCATCCTGCCCTGCCATAGGCCAATGCAGTTTTATTTATCAACCAATCAGAGCAACACATATTCGCAGCCTACAGAAAGACATCCCACCACAAAGATGAACTCTGGGTGACAAGTAAAAACAAAATAATGATGAACTCTGGGTGACAAGTAAAAACAAGATAATGATGCTCTCTACTTCAGTGCATGGGAGACGTCACCATCCAAGCTGAGCCTAAGGTTCTAGGGCTACACTCAGCCTTCCTGAGGACACAGTGAGGAAGAAGCCTGTTGCCCTGGAAATGTCATTTCTTACAACTGAACCTTGGATTGGCCACCCACAAGCACTCCTAGCAGAGGACCACCAGAGAGGGCAGCATCTGGCTGTCTCTCAGCCTCTATCCTAAGAAGGCAGGGTGCAAACTATCGCCCAAGAAATAACAGTGTTCAGGTTAAGTAAGGGCCAGATATATGTCTGCTTGAGCTAACCCCTTTTAGGCTATGGATGAGTCATATTTAAACAGAAACTTTTTACAAGTCCTAACACTGGTATAAAAATAATGTATTACTAGCTCAGAGTCCTTAGAGTTTTCAGGAATTGCATATGAATTAGTGAGAGCCCGGTTTGGGAGGAAGGGTGAGAAACACAATGATTATCTTAAGAGGCAGATGTCAGAGAACTAACAGCTGAAAAGGAAGGCTGAGATGGAAACTGAGTCGCTACTGATTGCATTGCGACTTCCCCTCTTAGGGCTGAGGAAACGAAGCGGAGACCTAAGGACTACATAGTGATAAAGGAACTTCACAAAAAGGAGATGCGAGATTCAGACCCGCGAGAACTGAGTCTGGCCAATGAGGCAGAGTCTTCAAGTACACGAAGAAGCTGGAAACTAGGACCAAAGGCTGCTGGAGCTAAATTGCTTCTGCCAGGTTAAAGACTAGGAGAAAATGACTAAGAAAACATCAAATAAACAACGAACAAGTCCTGTCCGTCCTCCTCTAGTGCCCCCTACCTGTGGAAACTGGAGGCACAGCTGACACACTGGACCGCTTTAGCCCTCAGAAGCCATCAGGAGACACTCCACCTGGACTCGGTCTCTTTGAGATGAAGAAAACAGGAATTTAAGACACTCTGAAAATTGCTGCCTTCCTAACTACCTCCACCACCAAAAAGAGGTTTACTTGTTTGTTTGCTTGTTTTGGTGTAATTGTTGAGACTCCTTTCTTCCTAAGGGCATTTGATGCAATGTAAGGGTCATTTCTCTTAATTTATGCATTTGCAACAGGAATCTGAGCAGGAGAGAGAGAGAGAGAGAGAGAGAGAGAGAGAGAGAGAGAGAGAGAG